TTCCTTACCACTTTCTGAGTCCATGCATGAACCTAGGCATTTTCCCCTTCTCTCTGTTGTCACAAGCAGCCTTTCCCATGGATGTACCATTTGTGCTTTGTTTTAGATAGTTTTGTATGTTTATGCCCAGTCCGTATAACACAACTGTCCATTTCTTGAGGGCAAATCCCATGTGTTCTTTCTGTTATTGCTTCCCCAGTGCACCCAGCACACTACCTGTTTCTAAAAAGATGCTACACAGATCTGTGTGGGTTGATATGTGGATGGACTGATCCTCCTGCTGCAACCCACAATTTTAAAAGTAGACAATAGGGCTCGGGATGTAGCTCAGTGGCACAGTGCCTGCCTGGCAAGGGCGAGGTCCTGAGTTCGATTTCTGATTCCAAAAAAAAGTAGACAATAAATAATTTCCACATTCTTTAAAGAAAAACAGCAGGAGTCATCTAATTTAAAAAGGCAAAACATTTCTTTCGTATCAGGTCACAAATTCTAAACCCAAACTAATTTCCCCTGCCTCCTTAAGTTAATGATGTTTAACCTTCACAAATTAATGGGATTGTGAGTGAATGAGTGTAAGCTATTGATTGCCTTTGAAGTGCTTTTCTTGTGTGTCACCCTCATTTCAGAAACTTCTGTCTTGCAAGTTTGGCATGACTGATGCAAAATCCACTTTCCCTGTTGAATGCTTCCCTCCTCCTATAAGGCCATTTTGTGGGATTTGTCAACTAGGAGATAATTAAATGTAAACATGAGTCACAAGCTTTTCTTCTCTGAAATGAAATACACATGAACTACAAAGAAGTAATAGAGGAAGAGGGAGAGAGCAGGCGAGGGATCTAATCATCCCTTCGCTCAAGATTTCACTACAAATTCATCATCAAAGCAAAGGAGCCCTCCAGGAACCATCCTGTCCCCTGTACGGGACCTGAGCTAAGGTCGAACTCAGGAGTCCAGTGGCTGAATCAGTCCACTTTGACCAGGAGCTAAGGAACTTGGGTGGGTGTCACACAGGCCCCAGAAGAGAACCCAACAGCAAAGAGCGGAGGCTTGCTGATTCCTGCAGAGGTGTCCCTAGACACCTGGAAACAAGCTGTTCAGTGCTCAGAGAGCCCAGCTGATTATCTCTGAAGGTTCCTACTAAAATGAATGCAATGCCAGAAGAGTAAGTTCCCAATAGAAAAATTTAAACCAATTGCATTACGAATGTGGTATTTTACCCAGAAATTAATAACAAAATAGAAAAGATGGGTGGCTTTTTCTATAAATTGTGATTTTCAATTAACATTTCTAACTAGTGACATATTTCCACTTTCCCAAATGTCAGTATGTCCAAAGCCAGATGGCATACGGTGACTTTTCCCAAGTAGCTGTGTATTCTAAGCACACTGTGTCAAGAAGACTGATCCAAAGACTTGATTCCTGATGCTGCCTGTCAGATGACGTCCACAGGCACGCCATGGAAATGAGCTGCTCGCCAGCACTTACCTTAGTCATCAGTTCTCAGAGAATCGATGAGCGCCATTCATCCCAATAATAGAAACCAAGGTCAGGGCCTTTCCTGGTTCTGTAATTCCATTCGCATTGCACAGAAAGCACTCAGGTCATAAGCTCAGTAGACCTGCTCACCCAGCAAATGGAACAGCGTCTTGTTCCCAGAGAGACTCCTCACAGGCACACCCCTTGTCAAAGGTCCGTCGCCCATCAACACTGAACATACTTATGCGTGCAGGGGATGATGGGGAGGAGGAGCGAGACCGCTCCGGCTGCCAAGAGCTTCAGGTGCTGTTGTTAAAGCGAATGCCCACAGAAAACACTTGGAGCGAAGCTATGTCAGATACTTGCGATTGCTGCACACGCATTTTTAAGCAGTGTGTCCACTTATATTTTATGTAAGCCACACAGTCATCCACGGGGCTCCCCAAGAATTTTTTTGTCCTCATTGTCATTCTCTCAGTTTGGTTTTTATTCCTTTTCCTTTTGTTCTGACTACTCTAAGACACTTACAGTGGCCTTGGAACTAAGAGTTTGATGATAAGCAAATAACTGTTGACAGTGGAACTCATCTTAAAATCTAGAGCAGGACACTCATGTAAACTGTCTCCGGGTCCCCGTCCTCGCTCCTTGGAGTTCAAATACTCTTATCCCCCCGCCACATATCAGGAAAGAAGGGCGGGACCCTGAGGTCTGAAGCCGAGGCAAGGGTTTACATACTGACTGTGACGCTTGTTTTCTTAACAGAGAAATAAATGTGATAAATGATAAATACTATCAAATAAATAAATGATCATATTTTTACAGCTACCTTACAATGCTGCTATAAGGATTCAAAATTAATACCTAGGACAATGCCTGAAAAGTAACAAATCATAACCTAGAATTGTTTTCATTGTTGTTGAGCAGGCAGTTTTCTGTTTGTATTGTGTGTCCATGTATGTGTCCATCTGTGTGTCCATGTATGCGTGTGTGTGTGAGAGAGAGAAGAGAGAAGTCTGTTGAAACATTTGGGGTGTTATGCCCAGTATATTCCAAATGACCCCCAGGAATGCAAGAGTGCAGAGGCATGCATGAGTCTAAACAGCAAGCCATCTGAAAGTCATCTGTGTTTTGCAGTATACTTTATATTTTCATCTCAAATGCCAGTGTTCCTAATACCCAAATAAATTACTGTCAGCAAAGAAACGACCCTAAGATGTGAACTCCTCACTGACTAGGATCTGAAGATTCTCAGGTTCTCCTTTCCTCTCTTCACAGCAAGCCAAGTTCCAGGACCCCCTCCCCAGGTCAGAACCACTGTGGGGTGGATTGGGCTCCTGGCTTGGAAGTAGCTGCAGCTGCAGATGAAAGCACCAGGTGCTCACAAAGCAAGTGGTAGTTGAAAGATCAGAGACAGCAAACTCCGGAGAGGCAGACGGGTACACTCACTGAGGGCCACACGGTCTGGGGTCTGCAATCTGAGTCCTGGGCTCCAAGCCCCATTGCCCTGTGGGATCTTGGGTGAATTGCTAACTTCTGTGTGCCTTCACTTCCCATGTGGGAACTTTAATGGTATCAGAGACCTTGTAGGATTTGTTGAGGGCTATTTTATATTTTATAATATAGGTAGAATAACATATACAACGTCCATCATGTAACACAGTGAACACCCATGTAAATATAAACTATAGGGAGAAGAAAATATATATGATAACAGATAATTAAGGGCTTTATGCTACATTGATTTCCCTTTGAGTAGGGAACTCTTACAAGTTAGTATTTTCCTACGGAGACATATCATTTTTTGTGTGAAATCAGAAAAAGACACTTGGCCTCATCCAGTGTTTCTCCAATCCCCCAAATCCATCTCTCTAAACAAAGCTGTTTTCCTGCCTGATACGTATGTAATAGTGCTCTGTGTGGTCCTATAGCAAGTAGTCTTCCTTCAGTTTTAGAAGTAGTATAGGTTTACCCCACATGGAAGTAAACACATTGGTACCTATACACAAGTGCACACACATACACACCAGTAGGGATGTCAGAAGGATTTAGGAGAATGAAAATATTAATGCTTATAGTAAATAAAAATGTGTTTGAGCTTCCAACATAATAAGTTTCACCTCAGACACACCGGCTCAGCCAGTATTGGCATATGCTACCTATAACCTCGCAGAGTAGAAGAGAAAACAAGGTACTGGTTAATTAACTCACTAACTGTCCATCCTTATGATGACTATGAGCTGATGTTCTTCCTCTTACTGTAAGGCATGTGAAAAATGGAGCGTTCAAGGAGTAGACACCCTTGGAGCATATGAACGGTGGGCCGTACCTTTCCCTTGCTCTGCAGATTGAATCAGTACCTGATTCCATAAAGCGAGCACCAGCAGAGCCATTGGCAAGTGCCTGTGTGTCTGGGCCAGCTGTGGTAAAGGGAGAAAGGAAAGCAAGCAGGTTCCTAGACTGTAAGTTCCTTAAGCGAATTGACAGCGACACTGTGCTCTTGAGATCGGACCCCAGACATAGTTGCCTTGGTAGGTACTCAGCCACGTACCTTGAGCAGAAGTCAACCTGCTGTGAAAATCTAACTTCCTGTGTGTCTGGCTTTTCCTGCCCATACATATAAATAACAAAAAGAAAATAAATGTTCACTGCTTTAGCGTCATGTTATATCAATGCTTAAATTTTTATATTTTAATATCTCATAATTAGGGTGCATTGTACTGGCAATGACGTATCAATGTGTAAGTGGTAGAGTTGGGTTGTTTTCTTGTATTTAAAATAAAGGTGCATCTTACCATCGGTAGCATCTCAGATTTGCTGGAATCCGTTATGTACCAGCCATCAGCAGGATCTCAAGGCCCCATAATAGAGTCAGTGAGAAAGAAGAGGTAGGACTGAGAGCGAGTCCTCCTGTAAACCGAGGCTTAGATGAGTGGAAAGTGGCCGTAATTTCTTCACTTCATGGCTACACCAGATCAGCGCATAGTTCTTCCTTTCGTTTTTCCTCCTCTCAGGGAAACAGAAAGGGACAGAAATTAAATTCCTGGCCTTTATTTTATCTTTCTGAAACTGTATTGCTGTCTCTGGAGTAGAAGCTCTTGGGGCCCATTATTCTGTATCCATGGTTCGCAGACACTCCTGTGTGCCGGGATCCCCCAGGACCTTCCTAGGAGTCTGCGATCCTCGCCTCCTGCCTGGACACCGGGGTCAGATGGTCTGGGACGAGGCCCATGCAGCTGTGCATTTGATGCTCTGATGACTGATGTGTCCTGAAGTTTGAGAAGCTCTGACCTTTGCGTTTGGGGTTGGCCCATCGCTGTAAGGACTTAGATTTAGGAACTCTGAGTACTGTATACTCAGTAGTACACACAGGACCACAGCTAATAGCAATGATTACGATTTCAAAAGGCAAATATACTGACCAGGGAAAGAGTTCTGACATTGCTTGTTTCCTTTGGGCTGGGACGAAAAGATAGAACATGCGTTGGTGATGTCCCTGATTCCTATTTCTGTTGGGGTTTTTTTAGCTGTGCCCCATAAAATCGGACGCATCATTGATGGGAGTCCTGCAGATCGCTGTGCAAAGCTAAAAGTGGGAGACCGGATCTTAGCAGTGAACGGCCAGTCTATCATCAGCATGCCTCACGCTGACATCGTGAAGCTCATCAAGGATGCAGGTCTTAGTGTCACCCTTCGCATCATTCCTCAGGAGGGTGAGTGCCTGAGCTGGCCTTGCAGGGAGACACGGACGTGCTCACTGGGGCTCCTCGGCCTGCCGGCCCCACAGCTGTCACCAGGGCACTGTCAGAGGGTCAGAGGCCGCTCCACTCTCTCTGTGGTGTTAATCCCAAGCCACTGGGTTATCTGATCCTTCCCCAGGTCTTGGAGCGCTGTTTTTAGGGTTATATTAAGCCACAACTCATTCAATAAAGCAGATAGAGTAACAAACTTGAAAAAAAAGAAGGAAAAAAAAAAAACTATTCATTATTAACAGTTAAGCTCCAGAGGATTCTTCAAAGTCTGATTGATTGTGAAAAGCGTGAAGAAGTTCTATGGTCTAAGGAGCTCATTCAGGAAATGTTACATCTGATAACAAGTCTAATTCCCACTCGGCCCTCTCAATCCCTCCCCCGTGAAACCTGCAGCGTAGGGGCATCCTAACTTGCAACCATGCCTTCAGGGGCCCACGGTTCTGAGTGCTAATTCACCACCATTTCTACACACACGTTCACTCCTGGTTTGTAGTTGCTGGCTCATTAGTGACTGAGGAATTCGGTCCCTCGCACTCCCTGGTAAGCGAGCCCTGCTGCCTCACACAGAGGCCGTGGCCTTCCTTAGCTGGGCACCCTGTGTTTGACTAAGCCACCTCCCCATTCAATTCAGGATTATCCGTGGAGACACCAAATGGCTCAACAGCTGCCTGACTTCAGTTGTAAAGCAGGAGTGCCCAACCTGGGTGATTTTGTCCCTCTGGGGGACATCTGGTGATGCCTGCAGATGTTTCAGACTGTTGTGCTTGGGGTGAGGAGACACCTGTCATCTAGTCAGGAGAGGCAAAGATGCTGCTAAAAATTCCATACACAGGACAACCCCCAGGGCGGGAATTTTCTGGGCCAAAGTGGCAAGAATGCCCAAAAACGCAATCAAAATGGAGAGAAATTTAAAATCTTTGGACAATGAGAAGAGCAAAGAGTGCTTTACAATGGAATGCTAATAGGTCTCCCTTTTGTCGCCCAATGAGAGGAAAAGAGAGATGGTTTTTTCACCTGTTATCTGCAGATACCAATGTGTATGAAATATTCAGTGAAAATAAACTGTGGGCAAGGCTGCTTGCTGAAATCCAGCGTGCTTTGCAGTCTTCCCAGTCTGAGATGTGCTTTTCCTGCCCCTATCCCAACACACACAGATAATCTCAGTTGTGAATTTGATGGTATAAGAGGGGAAAAGCCAGGAAGTAGTGTTTGGGGGAAAAAGGAAAAGAAAGATGATAAACAGCTTTGAGTCTTTTCTTTGCAGAGAACTGTGGCTATTAGGCATTCTTACTTTTCTAAATGGGGCTGAGGATGAGATTGTAAAACCATAACCATTTTATGGTTAGTTCTTTACCCACACTTTGGAAGACTGTTAAGATGCCGCATTACATTCAAAACATGGTGGCTAAAACATTTTCTCACAGCAAGCACTGCTGGGAAAATAGAGTGTGTTTTAGAGCTTACTCCTCTGCGTTATTTTTCCGAGTTTTAACAGAATTTTTTATTCGGTGGTTGGTTGGCTTGAGTTTTTGTTTACTGTTCTTTTGGCTTGGGTTTTTGTTCATCGTTGGTTGGGTTTTTGTTTTGTTTTTATTTTTGGTAGTCTGACAAAAGGGCTGAGACTGTTTGTCACCTCGCTGGGTCGCAGGGTTGTAATTAACGGGTCCCCATTCCAGGATGGGTTTCGAGCGCGGTAAGTTTAACCTGCTGTCTGAAACCTAGCAAAACGGCAATGACCCGCGCCTTGCACGCGGGAGGAGGCAGAGTCACCGCTGCTGGTCGCCTCTGGGCCCGGGTCCATGCCACCCTGACCTCCTCTGCTGCTTTGGTTCCCACCGCAGAGCTCAGCAGCCCCGCCTCGGCCCCCAGCTCCGAGAAGCAGAGCCCCCTGGCCCAGCCGCACAGCCCCGGGGCCCAGCCCAGCCTGGCCACCCCCAGCAGCCCCGTCGCCCAGCCGCCACCTCCTCAGCCGCTTCAGCTGCAAGGACACGAAAACAGGTACCGTCCCAGCTTCTGTGCTTCGGAGAGGCAAGGGAGGGGTGGGGAAGGCTGGGGACGCCCAGGACATGGGCAGGTGGGGAGGTGCCCTGTGGTCGAGGCTGCAGCCTGAACCCCGCGGGATGCGCAGCGTGTGCAGCGTAAGTGCAACCAGACGTCTGCCCCTCGCAGTGAGCGAGCTCTCCGGAGAGAGGACGAGCGCGGGGGTTGATGAGCTCGCCAGCGGTACAGAGCATGTGCTCTGAGCGCGGGAGCAGGAGGAACGGAAAGGGGCCAAGGTCGGGCGGGCGCGGCCAAGGGCATGGTGTGAGAAGCAGTCAGCGCGTTTGGGGCCGACCCAGAAAGGCTCTGCGAGAGTGTTGCGGGTTTTGATCTTCATCCAAGGTACAGGGAAGTCTCTGCGCAGCCTCAGCTGCTGACTGACGTCGCGGAATTTGTTTTTCAAGATCTCTCTGTTGCCCCACAAGAGAGCAGAGGGGAGGCCAGGCAGAGCGGGATGCGCAACAGAGGGGCGGCGGCTGCAGAAACCCACTGGCCCGTGAAGGAGGCGGCTGGGAGCTGAGGATGCTCCCTGTGGGTGGAGGAGAGCGAGGAAGGATTTGGGGGCGTCAACAAGAGCTCACCCTGCGCCTGTGCAGGTTGCATCCTCCCACCTGAGGCTTAGCCAGGGTCCTCCAACCCCCACACACAAGCACCGTGAGCCACCGTGACTAAGGCACTTTGGGCTTAGCGAAGAGAGAGTGTCCTGGGAAAGTGACGCTGTCTTCTAATTGTGACCATGTGGAACCGGGAGCCTGGGTTGGGTTGGGCCCTTCCAGACAAAGACGAAGATGTGTCTCCATGCGCTGCTTCCGCTCTCAACAGCAGAAAGGCGGAACCCCTCCCACCGCATCTCAGAGTAAGGGCCTCTCACTGGGCTTCGCCTGGTCCCAGGGTTTTCTGAGCACCTGCCTCCTCTGTCCTGCCTCCTGTGCGGACGAGATGGACGAGACATGGTGTCTGACTCCCACAGTTACCAAAGTGGGTTCGTCATCCACATTATGGTGAAACCAAGCCTTTCCCTGGGCTACAAGGGTGGTATTTCTGAAAGCCCCCTTCTACTGAGTGCTTTCCGGGAGAAGTACATGTATGGTTGTCATCAGCGGCTTGTGCTTTTAATATATGCCTGGGAAGAGAAGAGCCCTGTGAAGCAAACGATGCAGGGAATTCGACAGCCCATGAGAAGGGGAAGTCCGGGTGCCTCAGTAATAAGCCCCAGGTGCATCTGCTTTGGCTGTGTTATTCCAGCCGAGCAGACTGCACCTGCTTTCCCCAGGGTCCACCCTGCATTCAGCGGGGAGCACCGGAGAGCCCAGCAGTCCCCGAGCCAGCATCCAGCTTGTCTTCTTGATTTTCCCCCTGTGGACTAATCTTGCCATCACTTTCAGGGTGCAAGGATGCCCCGCACACGGGTGCCGCTTCTCACTGGGGCAGGTGACCTCATCCTTGAGTGGGTGATCCTCTCCTCTCCTTCGATGCGCTCTTCAGCCAGTTACACCTGCTCCTCCAGGAAAGGTTCTTTTATTGTGGAGGTCAGAGCATGAGAGTGTGCTGTGCTTCTGTGGGGACAGCAACAGCTCAGCAAGGCCACTGTTGGATCCTAGCTGCTGCTCCTCATCACCAGGACACTGTGGCCCTTGACATAGAAGCGTTAGTCTTCAGACATTTTTTTCCTGACTACAGAACAAAATATGTCCTAGTTCTGGAATTAACAGATTGATCTGATCCACATGTTTATATATCGCTAGTATATTTGCTCAGAGTTCTCTTTTGCTTCAGGAGTAACACCCTGGGAAGTGCTTGTTCCGTTTCTGAAGACTTTTACAGGCCAGCACTCAGATCTGGCTGAACTCTTTCATTGTTAGTAGTAGCTCATTGGCCTAGGGGTGAAGAGCTTCTGCAGTCTTAGAGAAACCAGAAACATCTCCACAGCTACACTGAAAGATGCTCATGGGATCAGAGGGGAAACTCACACCTTTTTCTAGACCAGGCTAGAGTTGTCCAAGACAGCTCATGTGCCAAGTGCATTCCTACAAAGAACGGCCACCTACATATTAGAATGAGCCAATTCCCATGTGAATGCAGTTGACAAAAGTGATAGTCTGGGCCGGCACAAGCTCCTGCCTGGCAAGTGCAAGGTCTTGAGTTCAATGCCCAGTACCCTTCTGCCCATTTCACAGTTCCTTTGGTGTGTGCTTGAGAAACACAGAGTCTTAAATAAGCTTTAGTAAAATACTAGCCAAGAAGAAGCATTTGTTGCTTTCAAAAGAAAAGAGCCACTATGGACTGTATTCCCTAAGTAAGTATAAATAGTAGAACTGACCTCCCAAGCAAGGGCAATGTGATTTAAAGAAGCCAAGGCAGGGGAAGGGATTGGAAACTGACTTCTTTCACAGAACTTGAATGCTAGATGCCATAGCTGGAAGCAAATCCTTGATGGGCCATGAGATGTAGAATCTCACCCAGGCAATGCTTCTTGGTCCTACAATTTTTTCTTTTTCTTTTTTTGTCTTTTTGAGACAGAGTCTCACTATGCAGTTCAGGCTGGCCTTGAGCTCACTTTATAGCCCAGGCTGGTCTCGAACTCACAGTGATTCTCCTGCCTCAGCCTCCTGAGTGCTGAGATTGCAGGCGTGTACCACCACACCCGGCTGGTCCTAGAACTTTTTCATACCATAAAAACTTGCTAAAATTTACCATTAGTAGTCTGCTTGGTCATCTCTGAGTCTCTTTAGTAATGGAATTAATAGCTGCAAGAGATTATATTGATGACCTTCTTTCATAAGTAAAGGAGTTTAAGGGGTCTTATTTTTCATACTCTTGAGTTTTCCTTAAAATGCTCCACATATTCAAAGCAACATAAATTTTGGCCTAGCCATGGTACCACTCACTTCAAAATCAGTGACACTCATGAAACATTGCCTTTTCCTTCTTAGAGAGTCCTTCAGTGTACAGTTCAACTTAAAATCCTGCTGCACGTCACTGGGTAGGACGAAGTTGAAGTGTTTGGTGGCCTGGATAACAGCTGTTACAAGTTTCAGTGTTCCTATTTCTCATCATTTGTGCCTTTCGGGAGAGTCTTGCATTTCACCCTCATCTGTTATACCCTGTGACACATCTGCTTAGAAACAGAGCACATAATGGATATTTCATACCAATACCACACAAATCGTGAAAATAAAGTGACAGTGCTAGGACTTAAAACTGTGACATCAAACACACCATGCAAGCTATTTCTAGAAAGGAAGCAATGCACGCTGGCAAATACCACCTGGTTGATTCCTTTTGTTTAATGCATGCATTTGCATAGCTAAGTTTCTTATTTGAAGAATATTCCAATAATTCTGTTCTCAGCACGCCCAGTCTCACTAGGTGAGTGGACTACCGAGGAATAAAGCAAAGCTCAAATTATCCAGCTCACAAAAGGAATGTCTCCCCTCTGCAACAGATAAGACCTATTCAAAGGTTGTCCTCACCAAATATTAGATTATACTTGTAGCAATTCTTCGGGCAAATACTTTTTAAGATATTTGATACTAATCATTGTCAGTGAGACTATTAAGCAGTAAAGAAATCACATAGTAAAGGTAAAAATTCTGCTTATTTTGAACATTTGTTCCTAAGACATTGGCGCTTTTCCTTGGTGCTAAGTATTTTCTCAGTTCCTCGTACCTCTATATTAATGTTAGATGAAATTGTTATTCTGTAAAACATATTTTTTAAATCTACTTAAATTCCTGGGTAGCTCACTGTATACTGTAGCCATGGAAATGAAGTATGGACTTCAAAGACCTGCGCACCATGATGATGACTTTGCAGTTTACCTAAATACTGATCCCGTAATGGCGGGCAGTGGCTGTTTTAGTCCCATTTGTGAACTGGGGAACCTCTCAAACTTAGAGAAATTTGGATTCATAAAAGAGTACTACGCTGATCATTCTGGTCTCTGTGCTTGTTAGTAACCAATGTCTACAAGCAAGGAGAGGCAGATGCTGGACATAAATATTTTTTGCCTTCCTCTCCACATTATGACTGCAGTCGCATCTGATACTCATCCCCACAGCTAGTATTTAAACTTCTGTGTCATACAGTTTGTCAACGGTCCAGTGTCTTCCTACTTCATTTGTAGTCCATAATTATGCCCACTACCACTCTTTTATCTTGCAAAATATTCAAAAAGATCCATTTAGCAATTTGAGATAGCCTTTAATTAGGTACTTTTAGAATACTGAGAGATCATTTCAATCATGTTTCACAGAGCATGTATGATCTCCTAAAGAGAGTGCACACATGTGTGTGTGTGTGTGTGTGTGTGTGTGTGTGTGTAAGAGACCAAGAGAGAAAAGGGTTGAGAGAATTGGTTTACTGTTGTTAGGATAGATTAATATTTTGGAATGGATAGTTAGTGTTTAACTTCTTAGATTTGCAAATAGACAGAGTGAAAGAGGGATACCCATGAGTGCTTTTTCACAAAATTCTGGTTGAACGACAATTTATCTTGATTGCTTGAAGAGCCAAATGAAAGTATAAATATGACCTTTGTCAAAGATGTTTAAGTGATGCTTATTATTTAATCTTCTCACAATCCTAAATATGCAGCAAGAGGAGTAAGAGCGGCGCACATAGCTCTTACGGCCAGACCAGGCCTGGTGGTTGTGGGATCATTCTGGTCTCCTTAGAACACTGAGAAGCCAAAGAAAACCCCCCTTTCCATTTATTTAGTTACAGGTCAGAAGTCAAAGCAAGACAAGATGTGAAACCCGACATCCGACAGCCTCCGTTCACAGACTACAGGCAGCCCCCGCTGGACTACAGGCAACCCCCGGGAGGGGACTACCAGCAGCCCCCGCCCTTGGACTACAGGCAGCCTCCCCTGCTGGACTACAGACAGCACTCCCCAGACACCAGGCAGTACCCACTGCCCGACTACAGGCAGCCCCAGGTACCTGGGCCCCGGGTCTCGTCTGCCAGGCCAAGACTTCCTGAAAGGCAAGGAATGAAATAGGAGGGAGACGGAAAAGGACACCCTTCTGGGATAGAGAGCCACAGCTCTGTGCCTAGCTCTGATGTCATCAGGGTAACAGCTGCATCCTAAAACTGCGCTGGATAAATAACTATTTCAGGTTAAAGCAGAACGATCCAACCACTCATCCATCAGTAGCGGGTGGTAGGAATGGGATGAAGTAATCTCTGTGGTGTTAGGTAGCCAACTCCCAGTGCATTGACTTATCACAGTTTTTAAGGTGCTCTTATAGGGATAGGCTGTAGCTCAGTGATAGAGAGCTTGTTTAGCATGCACAAGGCCTAGATTTAATGTCCACCACCAAAAAAGAAAGAAGAAAGAACCCTTACCTGGACTTCAGAGGACCACTAATTCAGCAAGTGTGGATTTGGTAGCAATGGAGGTCTTCAGGTCTCTAACTATTTCCATGGCCCTCTCCCACCCACTCTGGTAAAGAGCAAGCCTCTGGCCGAGGATAAAGCCAGGCCTTATATTATGAACTAAAACTCATCTTTATCCCCAAAGAATCTAGGGACAGTGAAGACAAGGAAAATTTAGACACACCTCCTTTTCAGAAGAAAAGAGAAATTGATTTTGTATATATCAACTTGATATTCAAAGTAAGACCTCCGTCAGCAAGCAACTGAGACAGTCAGACGCCATTAAATTTCACATTTCTTTTGAGCAAGCTTTGTAATTTACACACACACTACAGTTTTCAGAGTAGTAAGTGAGAAACGCAGGAGAGATGGTGTCATTCAAGCGGCACGTGTTAACCGTGAGAGGGAAGGGGAACGGAGTGGCCCGTAGCAGCTTCTCTAACCCTATTCCGTTTTCTCCCTGACGCAAAAGGATTTTGATTATTTCACGGTGGACATGGAGAAAGGCGCCAAAGGATTTGGATTCAGCATTCGTGGAGGAAGGGAATACAAAATGGATCTGTACGTGCTGAGACTGGCAGAAGATGGGCCAGCCATCAGGAATGGGAGGATGAGGGTAAGAGCAGTCTCTGTTTATGGTATTGCCTGATTCTGAGTGGAAACCCCACTGCGGTTTTAGAAACACACGGCAGCTGCTGCCTAACAGGTAAAACGGATGCAGGATTGGCTTTCTTTTCATTTCAGGATCTTAGAAGTTTCTCCAGTCTTTAAAAATGTCTCTCACTGTTCTCCTGATGACCTTCTATTGATAAAGCTCAAAATAGTTATCTTTTTTTTTTTTTTTTTTTTTTTTTTTTGGTTTTTCTCCGGTACCAGGAACCAAACTCACGACCTTGCCAGGCAGGCGCTTTGCCGCTGAGCTAAATCCCCAGCCCCAAAATAGTTATCTTTTTAAGGAACAAACTAGAGAAAATGTACAGAGTAAAGAAGTGTATGAAAGAGCCCGAAATGGACACATGGCTCCCTAACCTTTTTTCTGCAGTTTGATGGTTCCATTATCACTGAGGTTGAATATTTTGAAATGTATTCTTCATTTCGTGCTTCATCCTGTGTTTATGAATCAAATAGTCCTGCGTTTCTTTGGAAATACTTTTGTATTGGCTGGTCTTTTGGTTTTCATATTGAGCAGACAGAAGCTGTAGAAGAAAAGAGACTTAGTGTTCTTGGATATAGTTGTCCTTAAAAATAATAGCAATTAGGAACTTTTCAGTTAGAGGGTAAGTTGGGGTGAATATTTTAATGTCATAGTTGCTTTGAAGCATTGATTGGTGAAGTAGCTGATTCTTTGTCTAGAAGTGTAAAACTTGATAATATAGAACATTAGGCAATTTCTCTCCTCTCACCTCCCTCCGTCCCTCTGTCTCTCTGTCTCTCTCTGTGTCTCTGTCTCTGTCTGTCTATCTGTCTCTCTTGCTCTCCCAAATGGCAACAAGTAAGCCCATAATAGAGCTTTGTTATTATCATAAATGAAATCTGGGATCCATTCTTGCCTCTGTCCTTGCTCTGTAAGTTAAAGAAAAGCTGTGGCTTTGGGCTTCTAGAACCGCCGATGTTTGTGTGGAGCCGCTCCAACCTATTGCTCGTAGGTGACTGAACCTGTTGCTCCTACTACCCCATCTACCACTTCTATGATTCTCACTCCCGGGTCCAAGAATCACCCACAGTACAGAAGTGGAAAGACTACACATTGCGCCTACTTCTCTCCTCTCTACCCAGTCCTCTGCCAACTGAGATGCACCGGGGCTGCATTCTGAGCCCAGGAACAGCTGCCTCCAGAGGCTGTGGCCCCTTCCCTGCCCGCCTCTGCCCTCTATAGCTGTGCATTTAGGGGAGGCCTCCACCTGCTTTCTTGGTGCATTCCCAAAGCCAGAAGGGCACTTTCTTAACATGCTACATAGCCAGCTCTTGAGTGATTGAGCAAAACAAAATTAACCTCTGCAATACAGGTGAGGACAACATAGAACTAAAAATATGAGTGAAACCACCAAAGCCCTGTGAGAAGGATGCCACCAACTCAAGGACCTCAAGGTGTCCTCTGTGGATTCCAAACAATGGCCACATTTTTAACAAGAGGTCTGCTTAATATACACAGCACATGTATACCACACGGCCAAGGCAAAGATGCCTAGGTAGAGAAATTCCCTTGTATGGGCAGATGGCTCTTTCCAAAAGAATTTAAACCAGAGCAGTGCTTCTCAAGCACAGCCCAGGGCATCTGCACCCCAGATTCTCTAGCCCCACAGAGATGCCTGCATCAGAAACTCTCACCAGCTATACCAGGCTGTGTTTTAAGAACCTCTCCAAGTGAGTCAGGTGCAAGCAGAAGTTGGGGAACCTGTCAGCTAGAGGAGCAGTCAGGGTGCAGGCATGGCACAGGAAGGAGGTACATGGCTCAAGCTTTTCTAATCCTCCCTAGACCGAAATCTAGGGAGATTTCCATGCTGTTCCAGGGATTGCCAGAGTCCCTAAAGCCCTGCAACACAAATTTACAATTCTGCAGGCAGGTGCTCAGTTTTATGAATGATGCTAATTTTCTGACAGGTGATAAAAATGAGTCTTCTACTTGAGTTTCAGAAAATAATATTTTTCATACTCACCATAGTTTATTAAAATGGACAATGTTTCACCACTTTTCATACCATTCTTATAAAGCAGCCCATTCTTTATGTGTACCAGCTACGCAAAAGGAATTATTATGGTCAGTTGTAGATAACATGGATTAGTTTATCTTGGACTAATATACATGGCATTTAATTCTCAAAGAAAATGAGCCACTTGAGAGTTACAGAAATTTCATGAATCAGATTTAACTGGTTGATTTTTATCTCTGATCTTTAAGATAAGGCTAGGAGCTTGGCAGGGAAGATGGAAGACTTTTTCTGCTATTTATAGATTATGGTTGATATTCAAATGGTTGGGGATTTTCACACACATGGATTCTATTCTCATGGCTCCAGTAGAGAACTTATCCACGATGTCAGTGGAAGGAGCTGCTTCATCGTGCAAGTTGGGCAGGGCTCACAATTATCTGCTCTGAGAATTAGACAGTATTGGGGATCTCTAAAGTTAAAGATCAACAATACATAATTAATTCAGATTTTATTTTTTATTTTTAATTTTATTGATACATTTTAGATGTACATAATGATAACAGTCATCATAGGGAATTTGCACCTGTATATGATATATCTTGATTCTTCTTTTTTTTTCCATTCCCCTCCCCTCCCTTCAACCCCTCTTCCCCTCCTTATTTACAAAAGCTTTGTTTCCATTTTTCCTCTATTCCTTTTTTCTTTCCCTTTCTTCCTTTCCCCTCCCACTTCCCTAGTTCCCTTTCCCATTGAACATTTTCTTCCTGTTTCACAGTATCTATTACACTTTTTGGTCCTTATTTATCTCTTTGGTTTCTCACACCAGAGAAATAATGTAGTATTTAAACAGGTGTGTCTGATCTATTTCATTTAAGCATGTGGTCTCAAGGTCCATCCATTTATCTAGAAATGTGACTCTGGTGTGAGAAACAGATTTTATTTGTATGTTTATTATATTTGATCATTTAAGCCTAGTCTTTTCTATCTTCATTTGTGCTTATCAAGAATGAATAATAATTCGTAGATATGTTTAAGTATTTTCAGCAAGGACCAGGGTTTATCAATATTTGTATGACTTAATGGTTGGATTATTATATTTTGTTTTGTTTTTTTGTTTGTTTGTTTTTCTTCCAGTACCAGGAATCGAACTCACAACCTTGCTCTTGCCAGGCAGGTGCTGTGCTGCTGAGCTAAATCCCCAGCCCTGGTTGGATTATTATAAAACAGTGCATAAACTGGATAATTAATATGTTATGACTTTAGAAAACCCGCAATAGAAATAGAGACCATTTCTCATTTTATTGTAAGGTTTTTCCTTGATCCTACTGGTGTCCAGATACATATAGAACTAACATCTGAAGATGTTTTCTAAGGCAGCTGTTTACTCTGTGGGTATGGCTTGGTCTGCGGATTTCCAAGGCTCCCGAGACAACACGGTGTGCTATGTCTTCATAGACTAACATTTAAAATTAGCTCAACAAGAAAAACGAGCCCCAAGTTCTTCCCAGTTTTGAAATACTCAGGCATATTTCTCTTTCTTAGCATGATTCGTTCGCCTCAGTTTCAATACCTTATTTCTTCTGTATAAAAAACTAAACACACAAAGGTTGAGGCTGGAGGTGGGGCTCAGCACTGGAGGGCTTGCATATTTTTTTCTCTCTCATAATCAGGAATAGAAGGAAAAAGCCAGATAATGATCTAATAACAGTCTACCTAAGATTAAACCCAGAGCAGTAAAATTGTTCAAGTCACAATTACTACCAAAGAGCTAGGTGATTCTGAAAAATCCCTTCAAGTAGCAATAAATGAATTACTGTGCTTTTATGTTGGGGATATAGATAGTACTACCTTGGAACACTTTGCTAGTGTACCGAGTGCTAGCATCTGAGCTTAAGACTCTTCCTGGGTCTTTTATGTGGGTCTAGTTGTACGAAATGGTGAGACGAGCTTTGCTAAGAACACAGTGAAACTTAGGGGCAGTGGGTGCCGGAGGGGCTAACGTCCTTCTCTTACCTGGGAACTCGTGGAACACATCATCTATGAAGCTTGTTCTTAGTCATCTGTTTTAGCCACTTTTCTTGTTGCGGGTATAAAACACCCAACACCCAAGTTAAAGGAGGGAAGGTTTATTTAGCTCACAGTTTGTAGAGCTTTCAGCCCATAATCAGCTGGCTCCAAGGCAGGATAGCATGGCAGAGAATAGTTCATGGGGCCCACAAGGCAGCAAAAGCAACAAAGGAGGGAAGACAAGTCTTTCTGTCCCATATATTTTGCACAGGCTACCTGCCCTAGGGTGGATGTAGCACTCACACCCTTCATCCTACCAGAACTGTGCCAAACCAATCAGTGGGCTGATTTACTAATCACACATCTGTGATCCCAGCATCACACACTCTAGATTCAACCACCTCTGAAAAGCCCCATGACCAAATGAGGCTTTGAGGGGACATCTAGACACAAACCATAACTGCATCCAAATGTTATCCAAAAAAATGCCAGTGATCTCCCCACCCTGCGCTCTCTCACAACTCAGATGAGTGTCAGGCCCCAGTTGACTAGTTTCACTCTGGCTTCATTGCTTTCCTTTCACTCTGGTCCATGGTTGCTGACATCAAGTAAGAATTATTTTAGCAGAGCTCTTTAGCAAATTGGGTTACTTGCCTTTCAAACTGAATAACAAATACTCCCAAAAAAGTTTGTATTTTCTTCTCTTCCAAAAGCATTTGTGTGTGTGTGTGTGTGTGTGTGTGTAATAAATACTTTCTGCCTGATGAAGAATGTCAGATCAGCCAGGAACCCAAGTACAGGGTCTAAGGGTTTTGTCAAAATATGAGATGAGAAAGTGATGAGGACCTGCTTCCTCGGAGAATCAGATTTACAAGCCCAAGTCACCACACAGGCAAGGATGTGAGAAACTCTTTTTTAGAGGACCTGCTAGGTGTCTATTTAAGGTTCTAGAATCCCT